ATAAATAAATTTCATATTTTTTTGACTTATATTTTAATTATTAGAATTATTTTTAGTGAAAAAATAGGGGAAATCCATTTTGAACTGTTAAAATTAATATCTTGACTTAGAAAATTGAAAATTTTATTTTAATTAGTTCCAAGTGATCAAGAAGCCAAATATGAAATTTTGATGTGTTTTTACAATTTTTTGATTTTTATGATTTTTAATTCATTTTTAATTATTTAAATGCCTAAAAATAGCTTAGAGAATGAAGTATTTATTTTAATTGTAATTTTATTTTTCTTAGGTTCTTCTAGCCATAAGGAGCTCACAAAAATAATTTTGTGTTTTTTTGAGTTGTATTTTAATTATTATAAATATTTTACGTAAAAAATGTGATTTCACTTAATTAATCCATTTGGGTGCCTAAATTAACTCCAATTGACTTGAAATTTTTATGGGGAGCTCCCATAACATTAAATTACAGTGGAGAATGATTTTTATATCATTTATATTTATATTTACTCCAAATTAATCTTTTCTTTATTTTTAGGGTTGGTGACAATTACAATTATTTTTAGTGAGTTAAACCAAATTTATATTTTCCATAGGATCCTCTAACCACAGTGAACCTACCAAAATAAGTTTTATATTTTTAAGATGTGTATTTTAATTACTATAATTTTTATACCAAAACAGGGACCATGAACTTGAAAATTAGATATCTCTAGTTAGGGATGCCCCATGACCTTGGAAAAATCAGGGGAGATGCCTAACAACAGAGACATAAAAAACCAAGGTGCCTGGCCCTTTAGGGAGGGGTCACCATCTGACTGAAGGAGGTCAGGTCTTGGTCTTGGTGAAGTCAATTGGGGTTGGCCATGTGTAAATATATGAGATTGAAATAGTATGAGAAAATGACAATTTTGGGTCAATTTGGGTCAAATCATGTTTTAGGGTTGGGTTCACCCCTCAATGCTGGTTTGGGTGCTGAGGAAAATCAGAATGTTCAGCTTAATTAGCATGGTGAAGTATCCATCCAAGGATTTTTGGCGAAACATGGGTTAGAGTGATTCATGGGAGGGGTTAAAAGAATCTTAAGGATATTTGAAAGTGGTTTAGCCTCTTTCCAATAATAGCTTGATGATGTGGCATGACTCTCATGGCTTATCTATGACTTGAGACTGGCTCCATGGCTTGTCCATGGCTTGGTCAACTTTCATGAGGAGGGATTTTTGAAATTATGAAATATTTTGATGCAGTTTGGCATGATGCTTGATTTGGAATGATTTGATTTTGGATTTAGGACTTTAGGAATGATTTTAATCAAATGGATTATGAAAGGAAACAATTGTCATGTGGGCTTTAGACTTGGGCTTTTTAAATTAAGTATAGTGGGCTTTGGGCTTTTATAAAGGAAATTGAATTTGGGCTAATTGAATATTGAGTTTGGTGTAGTAATATGTCATGAGAGATTTGATAAAATTTCAAGTGATTTTGAGTTGAATTGGTGGGCTAATTTGGTGGATTTAGACATATAGTCAAAATTAGGATTTTTTGATTTGAATGAAATTGGGCTTGCAATTGGATCAAATTGGGCTTAAATTTTATTTAGAATGGAATTAGGGAGGCTAAATTTTGGTTTATAATTGAAAATGGGTAAGATTGAGGTCAATTGGGCTAAGATTGAGGTTAATTTGGAGACATTTGGGCCTTTAAGGGCAAATTGGATAAAATTGGTCAAATCTGGCCAAATTGGTGATAAAAAATTGATATTGGGAATATTTGGGTTTATTTTGAGATTTTTGGATAATGAGGGACATTTTGGTAATTTTGGCAAATTTTTGGCGTATTTTGGAAAATTGGTAATTTTGGTCAATTTAGGTAGTGGCGAGGGGTTTGAGATAATTTTTGGAAAGATTTGGGTATTTTGGATGATTTTGGGGTTTTTGGCAAAAATTAGGGTTGTGGGAGTATTTTGGTAATTTTGTGGTTTTGGGCCAAAATGGGCTAATAATCCATGAAGTCATACCAAACCAACAGGAGCCATGTGAGGACTCATTTTGGATGCTCAATATGATGGTTCTAACCCTCTCAGCCAAATACTAGGGGTATAAGTTCACCCATATGAGTTCTCCAAAAGGAATCATGGGACCAACTAAGGGATTTTAGGGTTTGGGTTATGTGAGAGAGTATAGTGTGTGCAAACCATTTCAACAATCACCAGACCACCCAGGGTTAGTCCTAAGGTCTAACCATCCTATGGGGGACTCCCCTTGAGCTCCTTCATATTGACCCCACTTACTAAGTGCTAGAGGTTAAGTCCAATATGTGGAATATGTTCCAATATGTGGAACTTCAAGTTGAGTAAAGAAGAATTTAAAATTTATAATGATGAGGGTTCCTTTTCAAGTCCTCTATGAATATAGTCAATAAGAAAGTTATATGGCTAGACCCTAGGCTACTAAAGAAGAAAAACTAGACCTCAACCAAAAATGAAGTCAACACCAATTGAAATGTTAAAATACATTGATAAACATATGTTCCGAAAGGGCTATGATTTCTACAACATGGGGAGAGTCACATTCAGTTACATGGGTGAGGATGTTATCAATGGAGATGAATGCAAATAAATAGGGAAATATACTTTGTTGGATGCAGAATTGATGATTTTAAGGCGATAGATTAAAATCCTCAATTTGGTCCAGTTGATTAGAAACTAATGCGAGATTGTTAGCCCTCAGATGAGGGAGTAGTGGGAGCTCTGGAGTTGGAGTCAGTATCCTCTCAACCTAACCACGGAATTAGGGACTAAACCTGGGATTAGCCAAAGATTTTCCATAACATTGTATCATGGTAGAGAATTAAAATTGCTCTTATTTGACACAATACATATTAAAAACATTTATCTCATCTTACTTTACCAAAATCTTATTTTAGTGAGAAAGATGCTTTTTCACATAAGAAGTTTAGCCATTAGTTTAATTAACTTAGTTATTTTAATTGCATTTTATTTAGCATCCACTCAATTATTCTAAATTTGAATTTCATACTTATGTTTTGAAGTTTGAATTGTGTTTTACATTATAGCCATAAGAATTTTTTCATAAGCATTTACGACTTCCCTATGGGATCGATATCTAGGACTCCAATAGAGTTCTTTATTACTTGAGCGATACAGATACATATACTTTACATATACTTGCGTTATTATTACGAGTTTGACAATTCAAAAATTTTAAAAGAGAATAATATTTTTACTAAAGTTAATTTTATTTGTATTTGAATTGTGTATTTATTATTAGTACCGCCGTGTGTGTTTTGTAAAATTGAATAATATTTGTAAAAACATTGCACAACAAATCCGCCCACTTCATGTTTTTGGCGTCTTTGCTGGGAAAGTAACAGAAAGCATTGGTAAATAATTTTATAATTTAGAACATTTTATTTGAACTTAAAAACTGTTTGTAGTTTAATTTGAATATTTTCATATTTTAGCGTGTTTGCTTAATTTTTTATTGCCTATTGTATTTGTTTATGCGTAGTTTAAGATCTGAAAATTTAGTATCTTACGATTCAGAATTAGAAAAATTCGAAAACAACAAAAAAGATATAATTCTAGCGGAATAACTTGCAACTCAAGTAATTTGAGAAATGAACATCATCAAAAACTTTTAAAAGATTATGTTAATCCTACAACAAATGAAATTTACTTGCGTATACAAAACCTTATTGTATCTGCCAATACATTTGAACTTAAACCTGCTATTATTCAAATGTTGCAAAACAATCAGTTTGGGGGAACACTAACTGAAAATCCTAACTTACACCTTGCTAGTTTTCTATAATTGTGTGCTACATTTAAATATGATGAAGTGTCGAATGATGCCGTCAGACTTAAACTTTTTATTTTTTCATTAAGGGATAAAGCTAAGATGTGTTTAAACTCATTAGCACCCGGATCTTTCATAACTTGTGGAGACTTATGACAAAAATTTTTATCTAAATATTTCTCACCTTTAAAAACTGCTATGCTGGTAATCTCCACTACCAAAAGTCATCAATAACAAGAAAAAAATTTGATTAAAACAAGGTAAAAATACAAGAAGTAATAACCGACAATAAAAGAAGAAAAAACAATATATACAATAAGTAAAAGCATAAAAAGAAAATAGTACATGCATGAAATATAAAATGACAAAGTACAAGAAATAACATTAGAACATAAAAAAAAAGCAAAAAATATAGTCATTCAAATTATGAAAAACTATAGGCAAGGACAAAAAATGAAAGCTATATACACATCTTCATATATGCATGCCACTTATATCTTTTAAAGTCATCACTCGCACAATATAATCAACTGAAATCAAGAAGTATGACATTTATTATTTTTGTTGCACATGTTCAATAATAGCTCGAATCTCAATAGTCACTTTTGTTTAGTTTTGATGATTATTATTCAATCAATTTTATCTATTTATTTTTTATTATACGAAAGTCTCCAAAAAAATAATATACATGACTTGTCTGACACAATAGAATGAATGAATCAGCTTTAGCATATTTTTTGTTCATCTGAATTTATTATTGCCATACAACATATTCCGTGATTAAAAAAATGTTAAATGAGGCGTAATCGAATATAAATTTACTTCGTTCCATAAAGCCACAATATTGATAATAGGGCCAGCAACGACAAGTATAAATTTACTTCGTTCCATAAAACTATAATATTGATACTAGGGCCAACAACCGCAACTAATGTACAATCTATAATGTATTTAAAAATCTTTTAAATATAATAAATTCAAAATATGCTAATTTTTAAATGCATGATAAATTCTACTTTTATCAAAGTTTTATATTATATTGCACACATTTAAATTAAACATTAAAATTTCAATTATTTTATATACGAAACGGCGAATCAATTTGATGAACGCCGTTCGGTTTTACGGAAGTCAAATCATCACCGACCTTCTAAAAAAAGTTATTCCCCTATGGCCCACCACTCTCGCCCAATTTTTAAGTTATACTTCATTGCCTTTTCGCACGATCCCGCGAGCAAGCTCACTGAAACCTGAAGAACGGAAGTTGGTAATCTTTGAACCCCCATCAATTGGAATCCATAGCTAAAAGACTATTCGGAAATTACTCTCCGCTATATTTTCTGCGATTTGCGTTTCTTAAGCATTTGATTTATCGATTGGTAAGTTTTTCTTTTCTGTTCATTTGTACTTTTTTTTTTTTTAAATTTGTAACCCAATTAGAAATTTGCAAGGGTTTTGCTGTAGAGCTGATTTTTTTTGTTTTTAATTCGGCCGTCTTTTTGCCAAAATTGAGTTAAAGCTGAAACTGCTTTGTTTTTTTATGTTGATTTATCCCATGCGCATTATATCGGCGTGCAAGGGTTCCTGTAAAAATTTCTTGATGCAATTTTGTTCATAAATCGTAGTATACTTTTGTAAATTTGTTGGAGAAATGGGTTATTTCTCTTTACTTGATTAATTTTCTTATGTTTTCTTGTTTTTTTTTCTTTTTTTTTGATGCAGAAGGTCACATTGCATGTAGGAATTAATGAACTCGTCATCGTGATTCGTGCAATCCTTTTTTCTTGCTAAACTCTTGATGCATTGTGCTTCTTATGGCAAGCTAATTAAGGTTTTGACGGATTAAAGACTTTGGGTTCTTTTTTTTTTGATGATTTTATTGTGAAAAAGAAAATTTAAATCTCTTTTTTTCATTTCTTACATAAGATACTATCATAGCTTTTTTGGTTGGTCAGTCAGTTTCTTGATTGATGGTTTTGGCAGATATTGAATGCAACCTTTGGATGGTTCCCTTCTGTCAAATTTGATTCATTGTAGTGTTGAATTTTAATTTCTTAAGTGAATAAGATTGGAGTTTGAATCTATTCTGCAGTTTCTTCATACTAGCAGGCAAAACAAAAGATTGTTAATGAATTTTACAATTCAAATGTACGGTGAAAAATTACCACTCGCATGTCAGAATTAAATTTTTAAGGAAAATTTTTAGCTACTTTTGATTTCCTCTTTCAAATAGTTAGTATGGTATACTTTTTTTTGGATGATAAATGTTATATAAGACAATGCTTTCTAATGTATTCTGATTATTCATGCTAGCTACATCATTTCACAAATCTTATGCCACCGGCAAAGTTTACTTATGGAGGGCATCATGGCTCGTTTTTGGACATCAATTCTATACTATCTAGATTGAGGCCAATTACATTTGAAGAAACACTAGATTTTGTTAACGACTTTGTTAAGAAAGTAAAGGTATGATAAACTTTTAACGTCAAAGCTTGAGCTTTTGCGATAAAATAGCTTTCTTTTGATCTTTAAGTAGAATTATTAGAGATGATGATAGCTCAATGAGAGCCTAGAATAAAATCTATTAAACCATTCTTCTATATGTTACGGGTTATGCTTGCTCACTCTGATTGATGTTGGTCGCATCTCCACAAATTGACATTTTTGAAAATAGTAGAATAAAAGTAAAAATTTTCAATAATCAATAGCAGTTGCATAATGTTTGGTTTATTTGATTCCTAGAATTTTGAATTATCTAAAGCATCACAAGTATGCTAGTACCATGTTTAGGAACAATTCTCTAAACTTTCAAGTTAAAGAGTTTACCTTTTTGGTTGGTTGTTCTCTCTATTTAAGATGCGACCTAAAACAATATATTGATATCACATTGTATCCTGAAAACTAACGTGTTTAAATTAGGAAATAATGTTTCTATTATGAATTGGAGTGAAAAAGCATGACTGGATATGGATGTTAAGCCACACCCACCACCGCATCCCCATCAAAATCGTAAAAAGGTTATCATTTGAGATATTTTTTAGTGCCTTTTACCGGATAACTTTATTTTGCTAGTTAATTTACATGATTTGAAGATTTTCTTTTAACCAAAAAAAATCCATGTTTAGTTGGATTTCATGTTCATAATATGTTGGACATTGAAAGCATAAGGTGTATTTTTTATTATTGCATTCTAACATAGGCGAAGTAATGAGCTCATTTGATTATTTGGAGATTTGTTGACGTTTAAATCTATGGTTGTTAAGCATCACACGTGTAACTGAAAAGAGATGTGGTAATGAGCAGAAAGTTAACCAATAAGAAACTTGAGAACTAATTAGCTTAAGTTTCCTGTTTCTTGACCTTTGTCAACTAGTACTTTTGGGAGGGAGGCAAACTAATATGCATGCATTAACTACACACTCATTTTTGTTGGTTTGTCACGAACTTTCTATGTTTTGAGAAATAGCTTCTCAAACTACGAGGGAAGATGAACTTTTACAGCACTATTTAAGGTGAATATCAAGAGTGGAGTATGATTTTGACCTTCTTTAGTTTTATTCTCCTTCCATCATTTATATTCATACTGAAAGAGATTCCAAATTTGTATATACTTGTTAATATATTTAAGCCTATACATATTGTGAGATCATGGCCTTGTGAGCCATGAATGAATATTTGATGTTAATAAAAAACTAGTTTCATTTCCACAAGTTGTCTTGTGAGCATTTAATAACAATTTTCAATCTGCGTAGTCTCTTGACATGCCACAATCTTTTGCAGGCCCGAGATCATGGTCTATACTTGTCATTATTTGCTATCCTTTGCCAGAGGGATCGTACATCCCATGAAATATATGAAGAGGTTCCATCGCACAAACACACACTGCTCAATTGTCTTAATAGTTATGCATGAATTCCAATTTGTTCTAATTTCTTCAAATATTCCTCTTTTTGCAGCTAGTTTTGATATTTCAGAATCATGATGATCTGCTCGAGGAGGTCACACGATTTCGACCTCCCTTAATGGAAAGAAGGATCGGTAGACGCTGCTCTCTATGTTGGCTTCTTTTTCCTTCTCTTGTGGTTGCCTTTAGCTTCTACCTAACTTGCGAGAAACCTCTGAATTGTTTCCTTCAAAGCACAACATGAAATGTAGACATAGTTTTGTTGTTGGGCATTGAAAAATTGTTGTTCAGAAGTGCTCGGATTCCAGAATCGTGCTTCTCTCGCTTGTTGATGCCTACCTTGACAAATTGACAAGGGCTAACTGGTTTTCTTTGGTGTCTCTTGGATATATTTGGATTGTTAGAAGAAATTGAAAAAAGATCTTGCAGTTTGTCAATTTTTTTTTCTTTCAGACAATTATTTAGGAAAGGTGTGACTTCACAATTCTAACTTCTACTTTGTATGTTAGTAATCTACTCCTTTCACCGTTGTATATTCATAATTCTCTCCATTCAACAATACCGAGAAAGTTTACTTGATGACTATTGCTATGTTTGCATTTTATTCTCTACTCTCTGTGCTAGTAATTCTAATTAATCTTAAACAATTAGTTAGTCATAATATTATTTTTAATGGGCATCATTATAAGTTGATAACTATCTTATTTGTGGAAGTAATTATATTTTTAAACTTAATTTGAAGTTTGAAATTTTTTTATCATCCTTAGTCTTATTGGTCATGTATTGATCCATCATTTTCATTGATTTCATGTTGAGTGTTGCATATGGTTTTAACCTCAAATTTTTGCCGATTATTTTGAGTAATGTCTGTCTATTTTATTATTTATTTATTTATTTCAATTTGTTCTTCCATTTAATTTTATGTTGCTGGTTTATGGATTTAGTTTTTACCTTTTTTGTACATTCTCATATCGTTCTAATTTGTTTTTAGCATGGGTGTTAGTTTGTGTTGATGATTTGGGATTGACTTGGCTTTGCTCAAATATGTTTTCCTGAACTCAAATTCGACATGTTTAATATATGACCTAAAATTTTTGATATAAAACCAACTCGACTCAGATTTGCCTAATCCAAGTTTAATCTATTTAACCCATTTTAGTATATGGATCAGGCTTTTTGTTCGATCAATGCGACCCAATTAACTAGAATATGGCCCGTTTAACCCAATTAGCCTAACTTGAACCTAATAGTAATTGGATTAATTTTAGATTATTCGAGCCATCCTGAATCAAATCCAAATACAATCGATTCAACCTTTCGATTAGAATCTAGCTTGATCAGTAATTCAATCAATTCAAATCCGATTTTTTTGAATAGGGATTAGGACAGATTGTCAAGTCATTTTTTTTTTCTTAAGATACCTCTATTCAATGCCTATCATATCATTCACAAATGTCGCTGTTAATTTATCTCTAATATATATTTTTTAAATAATTCATAATATTTATTATTATTATTTTTTTATTTCTGCATTATTTAGCTTTATTATCAAATTTTTTTTAATAGTCTAATTTTACAATAATAACAATTCTTTATCCCACTAAGTGGGGTCGAATACATGAATCCTTTTCTCCATTGCGTCTTATTGAGTGTCATAATTTCATCTAATTATAATAGATTAATATAATTTTTTATAAAATACACCCTAGTCTTTTTAGGTCTATATTTGCCTTTCTTAACATATGTTGAATCTAAAATATCTACTCTACTAACAGGATCAACAGATGGTCGGCATTTAATGTGATCTAACCTTCTAAAATGACTCCGTAATCTTGTAAGTTACTGAAGCTACGCCAACCCTATCACGTATATATTCAATTTGCATTTTGTCTCGAAATGCCAAGCTACTTATCCATCTAAGCATTCTCATCTCAACAACACTTAACTTTATTTTATGCTTCCATTTAAAGGCCAACATTTTGCGCTATAAGACATTATAGGTCTTACCACCATCTTACAAAATTTTCCTTTCAATTTAAGCATTACTTTTCTATCACACATTAGGTCGATGCATTCCTCCGCTTCAACAAAACAACTTGAATTCTACCTATAACATCCCCATCTATATCACCATCGATTTGAACAATAGACCTGAGATATCTAAAACAATCACAAGTTTTAATATTTGCTCAACCATAGTTATAACTCTGTCATTAGAGCTACTACCACTAAAATTACATTCCATGTATTTAGTTTTAGATCTTCTCAAACGAAAGCCTTTAGACTCCAATGTAGAACACCATAATTTAAGTTATTTCTTGAGCTTTTTCTCTAGTATTATCCACAAGAAGAATATCATCAGCGAAAGACATACACCAAGCTATATTCTCTTGTATTTGCCCAGTAAGAGCATCCATAACTAATGCAAACAGATATGGGCTTAAGGCTGATCCTTGATGTAAACCAACTGAAATAGGAAAATACTCGATCAATCCTTCTTCTGTTCGAACACAAGTAAAAACTATAGTATACATATCTTCTTGACTTGAATATAAGTCATATCAACACATTTATTCTCTAGAAATCTTCAAAGGACTTTTCTTGAAATTTTATCGTAAGTTTTTTCTAAGTCAATAAAAATCATACGTAGAGCCTCCTTTTGATCTCTGTACTTCTCCATCAAACCTCTAAATAAATGCATAGCTTCCATAATGGACTTGCCCGATATAAATCCAAACTGATTATTAGAAATCATTGTATCATATCTTAATCTATGCTCAAATAGCCTAAACCCTAAACCCTAAACCCTTTTTAACGGTCTAATTGTGATTTATAAAAAAATATTTTTAATGTTTTATGATATTCTATTTTCTCATAATACTTATTTTGTCTTTTTTATTTTAATTGCTTAGTATTAACTGGTCGGTTCTTTGGGCCCACTCATAATTCTTTTAATATTATAAATTTGCTTTTGTGTTGGAGTTTTGGGTTAGTTTTTATTGTGATTGTTTAAGGATAGTCGCCACTGTCACAAGTTTTCCTTTCTAGAACTGTATTCCGATGCTCCATGCTTTCGACTATATCTCACTCCCAAGGTGGTGACTATCCTTTTTTTAACCCTTCCGCATCCTCCCTTTATCTCTCCCCATCGCCTTTCCCTTACCTTGGCCACACCGAACAACCGTCCTTGCCGTTTCTCCCTGCAATTTTTTGCCTTCCCAACTTAATGGTGATATACCATTTAGTTGAGATCAAGACAAATAATAAAAAAAAACCGAACTTCAACACGTATATCACATAAACAAATAAGGTACTCAACAATAAAAAAATGCAAATCCTAAGGTAACGCTTGGGTAGCTTCCCATGGCGGTGCTTGGTTTAACGTCCTCAGCCAGACACAATCTCTGATCCACCTCCTGGACAGAGTCTTCAGGGTCAAAATATCAACTTAATAATCCTTGATTGCTCGTTTCAATTTTGGGTTCTCTGAAGGTTTCTGGTGAAGTTAGGTTTTCTGGTTTTGCTAAAAGGTACCGATCTCGTTTCAACCGCTGGTGGGAGTTTAGCAGTACTCTCTTACTCTCAATCAGGTAATCTCCCATGTTTTGACAATGTAAACTAGAGTGTTCTTCGTAGGAGTCTAAGCCTAGAGGTTGGGCTTCTACAGGTCATTGCTAGTCAGATTTTCCAAAAATTTATCAATTATCGATTGCTCTCCCAAGTAACTATTTTTAGTTTCAAGGGATTTGATCTCAACTACCCGAGTACCATTTCGGTCGTATTTTCATTCCTAGGGCTTTGAGGAAGGTCCGATGTTTTTAAAACTTCAAATCTAACTGCTTGATCATTCTCTCCAAGAATTACCTTCCCATCTTCAACATGAATAATAGCTAGGGCTGTAAAAGAGCCCGAGCTTGAGCGAGCTCAGGCTCTGCTCATGTTTGACTCGTTCTAAATAAAGTTTGTTCGATATTGGCTCGTGTTCGAAATTGACTCGTGAACAGTGTGTTCGTGTTTGACTCAATTTACATATCTGTGTTCGTGTTAGGCTAGAAATTGGCTTGTTTCAATTAAAAACATATTAAACAATTTAATAATAGAAATATATTAAAAAAATAGATATAATGAAATTATGAAAAAAAATTATTGCTTTAATAATTTTTTTACAACTTTTAGAGAGAAAACTTGACAATTACACGTAATTTTGCATAAAAAAGTATAATAAAAATTACAAATGTATCATTACTATTTACAAAAAAAACAAATCACAACACTAAAGTCTAAAATCAAATAAAATAATACAAAGCACAACTAAAATGATTATTTTGGCCTCTTGCAGTTCTTGAAAGTTGAAACATTTCATTTAGATCATTTTTTGAAAGTCCAAACTTCCAATCCAACATAATCTCGATATCCTGCATCATAATTTAAAACAAAGAATTTTGTTAACTTTTAAGAAAAATAAATAAAAGAAAAACTCGATTCGATAGACTAACTCACCATGCAATCTTAGGACATCCTCTCAAAATGATCTAGCCAATCCAAAAATTATTTTTGTCGTTGCTATGAGTTAAAAAATCAATTTAATTTATGATAAAACATGCATGAAAAATTAGAACTGGATATGAGCGTTACTGTATTAGGGATCGGTTCAGCTTTAGGCTTTCAACCATAATAATCCATTTTGAAGAATTTCATTAAGCAACCAGAGCATCAATGTGCATAAACCAACCCTGGATTGCACCTACTAGCATGACAATCAAGGGCGGGCAAATCCAAACAAAATGACTAATAAGTGGACATATAAAAAAGTAACACCCAAAAATACATATAAGTCAATTAAACTTTTGGTTAGAGCCATCAACAACCCAAGTTAATGACAAATAAGACATAAAAAATTAACACTAAAAAATTTTCAATCAAATAGTCCCCAAGTCATTCAATTTTTAGGCTAGAGCCATCAACAACCTGAGAATGAAATGACAACTCTAAACCTCTTATTATTAAATAGTAATACCGGTTCTAAAATTTTCATAAAGCATAAAGTTAAGAGGTATAGTATCACTCTATTAGCTCCAACATAATAAAAAATGCTATAAGAAATGTATACATCATTATACATATTACTAACACTTACAAGCCAGTTCAATAATTCATATAAAGTCACAACAATTTGAATATTATCAAGTGCCAACCAAAACATAAGCAGATATTCTGAATATCAAGTAATGACCATGAGCAAAACATTATGCTTCTTCAAAGAATTCAGAAAAAAATACAACTATTCATTAGCAGAAAAATCAGTTTTTTGAAATCTGAATACTCCCAATCAGCGGAAAAAATTTCAAGAGTGACATTTAAGCTTACTTCATGGTACCTGCCGCATCAAAGTTTGACATAGAACTCAAACTTTAGGTGTTTGATATGTAAATACAAAGAATTTGTGCAGTATCATATTTGATATATATGCAAATCCAAAGCAGGCATCAACAAACTAAAGGTTTTAGACATGTAAATACAAAGAATTCAGAAATATACAAGCCTGACATGGATTTCATATAACAAATA